ATTATTCATATTTCCCCATGAGCTGATTCGCTACGGCATGCATCTGGATAAACATCTTAAAAGGAGATAGATCGCTGTGTAGCAAAAGGTCTGTCTCTCGGTATTCATCTGAATAAACATCTCGAAAATTGAGGGTAACTTTTTTGTTTTTCAAGCAGAGCCATCACGACCCCCTCCCTTTCAGAACTCTTTTCACTACTCTGTGCGAGAAACACAGAGAGAGAGCGATACTGATTTAAAGTTTATACATGACACATTTTAGTATTCATTTCATTTGAAGAATCGTGATGCTTGCACTGGGGATCCTTTCTCTGTTTCCCTGAAAAATGTAAGACAATTTATATTTTTATTGATTTATTTTTCAGTTCATTCATATGCTTGAGAATCTTTTAATACTGTCGTCAGATTATATGCAAACACACACACACACAATACATTTCTTGATTAGATTTTAAGGATAAAAATAACGTATTAAAGGTAACGAGAATACCTTACAAGATAATGAATATTTGTTTTAATATTGAATGTTTGAAGTATATTATTCTATATTAAAATTGGCAATTCTCACAAAGGTTGTAATTTTATAAATAACCACCAGAGGGCATCCAAGCTCTATGGTATATCTCCTCACACTGCGGATGTGAAATCACGGGGCCATCCTGATTTTTAACACCAACAGTGATACTTAATTGCATAGTATAAAAGTCTCAAATTTGTTATCGTTTTAGCTAACGCCAGAGAAACTATCAGAGAAATATAGATCCATGACTAATGAGAAATATTTGCTCTTGTCTCTGTACCATATGTGAAAACACGTTAATGTGTTTTTCATGGCCTTTTGAACTCTGTACCATATGTGAAAATAGTTTAGGAATGCCCACATTACAACCGTGACAGAAGACAATATTTTTCATTGCCACAGCTAGATTAACGACGCGTTTACATAAAATATCTTAAAGGGATTAGTTCGCCCTGTGTAGCAAAAGCCCTGTCTCTCGGCATTGTAGCGTCTGGACACAATTTTTCATTTGATTTAACAAATCAGTTATTCATTAGATT